CTTCGCGTTCGATGGGTGGACAGCCAACAGCTGGTTGGTGCAGTACAGTTTAATGGTTCCGTGTCCAGCTTTAGAATTAAAAGCATTGTGCCCTATGGAAATGCGTGTCCGACGTCGTTGCTGTTGTCTGCCTTGTGATTGCGTACACGATTTCTGGCTTGAGGAAAATAACGAGGAAGAACGAGGAAGAATTAGCAGTGACCACTGATTGCTTGGCGACGAACTCATAGTTTTCTGCGGCCTGTCCAGTATAATGAAATATTAACTTAAGTGGATGATTAGGTGACTTATCGCTGATTAAGAATTGCAGTGTAGAATGAGATGCGAAATCCGTTTTTTTTCCTCCCGGCTGAAAGTTCCTGTTTACACGTACCTTTATGCGAGACTTGTAAGTTCTGCTATATGTATTTTCCTGTTGTACACACGGTTGGTTAGTTAAAGTACGCTCCAGGGTTCTAATTGTGTGCTGTTTGAACGTGGGGAAACTTGAAGTCAGTCGGTCAGTCAGTCGATTTGTTGTTCAGTTACAGAAATGATGACGGAGGCAGTATTACCTCTGAAACGTTGGTTAACATCGACCAGACTACATAGCGCAACAACCCAGAAGACAGAAATCGTCATACTCATCGCCCTGATGACGGAGGCAGTATGACCTCTGAAACGCTGGTTAACATCGACCAGACTACATAGCGCAACAACCCAGAAGACAGCAATCTTCATACTCACCGCTGTGAAAACCTCAAATCTTACAAGTTAGACTTTGATACGGGTCACAACTACATGGTTTGTGCCTATGAAAACCCATGGCCTCCTGAATGTGGGCTGCCAGTAGTACAGGAGATGGTAGCGATTTAGTGCTTCTTCGTAGAAGGTACAGATATTTTGCGTGATGTTTTCTTTCGGTATGTCGCACCTTCTAGCTGGCGCCCAGCTCCGTGGGACTGTGGTGCCTAGTTAAACCTGACAGATATCTGTGGGTTTAACGACATCAAATGCGTTTTTAATTATACAGGGCTGCTCTCTTGATGATGACTGTGGTAACGATCTTCTGAAATATGGCCACGGAATCTCAGAACCACGCCTTATTTCATAACCAGTTACGGAGAACAAATACCCTCTGTAAGTGGAAGATGTTTTTGGACTGTTTTCGAGAGGAAGGACCCGCAGCGTATGAAGAGCGGGCAATTGTTACGCTGAAGAACGTAAAATAAACGCATTACTGGGAGGTCGTGCACACCTCTTAGAACGTATCGCAGAACCGATTTAGACTAAACCTGGTATTGGGGATCTTCAATAAATATCATACGACGAAGTGAGATTTCAGATTGTGGATTGTTGAACCGTGTACTTGGAAGACGTTTGCCGACGTTTCAGAGGTGCTTGCTGCCTCCATCATCAGGGCAGTAGCGCCTCTGAAACGTCGGCAAACTTCTTCCAAATACACGGAGAAATAATCCAGAAAACATCTATTTTCCTCTTTTGACGAGTTAATCCCTACTTAAACAACATCCTGCCTGCGCACGGTTGAGTGTTTGCTATGAAAGAGAGAAATGTAAAATATCGGAAGGATGAAAGGAAATAAATAACTACGGTGGGAGAAGGAAAACAAAGGAAAAGTAACAAAGAAAGAGGAAGGGCGGTAGATAGAAACAAGGAAACGTTCAGCCTCACAGTTACGTGAAGCTGGTGGGAATTTTGTTAGAACTAGCTGATGCTCGTGAGGGACTGTCTCTTGTCGCCAGTCTCTTCTTGTCTGCAGAATCCTAAATAATTAGCCTCGAAGCGAATTATGTAATTCATCATTGTAAGGAAGACGGTTTATCTCTCGATGTGACGCGGGTCATTACGAGGACATTTCTGTTCCTGTCTCAGGAAGGGACGTGGCAAAATACGAGTCCGCAGTTGTATTATACCAGGACACAGGAATGCGACGAAGGTACAGCTCGCCAAGACTTCTGTGAGGAAGAAATGTTCCAGCTGGAGAGGTATACAGAAGGTCCGGTGACTTTAAATTATTACTTCAGGATCTTATTTTTGAGGTCAGGCGGATAATGAGAGTCATCTGTTCCTGCTACCTTGTTTGTGAGAAACGTTATTTTGAAATCACATAAACTACGAGAAACTTTCAAGTTACATTTAAACATTATATAGAAACAGCTGCTAATAGAGCTATACAGTCTTGTCGACTTTCTAAGGCGT